CCTGTCCTTCCCAACTCAAAATTATTTTATCAGCGAGTATAAACACCTGATGGAAGGGTGTAATGAAGATGGAGCCAAACTCTTCTCAGTGGTACCCAGTGAAAGGACAAGAGGCAATGGGCACAACCTAGAAAAAACAGGAAATTCCATTTAAACATAACAAATATCTTTTTTTTTTTATGATGAGGTTAATTAAACACTGGCACAGGTTGCCCAGAGAGGCTGTAGCGTCTCCATCCTGGGAGATACACAAAACCCAGGTGTACACAGTCCTGGGCAACCTGCTCTGGGTGACCCTGCCTGAGCAGAGGGGTTGACCAGGACGATCTCCAGAGGTCCCTTGCCAGCCTCAGTGACTCTGTGACTCTGCATAGCACATACACCTGTTTCACACTATAAAAGCACTGCTCTGGTGGTACCACAGTGCATCTCTCATGCTAGTAACATAATTTCAGTATAAAAAAATAAACACACTTAACGTTCTAAGACTGCCAGAACACCACCTGGCTCCAGAGGAGAGACAGAACCAAGTCCTGCTCTGCCCCTTCCCTTCTGCAGCTCCCAGGGGCTGTCACACTCCTGCCTGCATCAGGATGTGATGAACCTGGCCTGTGCCAACACCACCCCAGCGTGGTGTACAGCCTCACTGCCATCCTGCTGGTTATGAGGTTGGACACCATCCTCATCTGCCTCTCCTACATCCTGATTCTCAAGGCTGTCTTGTGGCTGGCGGCGTGGAAGGAGAGGCTCAAGGCTCAAGCCACCTGCGTGGCCCATATCTGTGTGGTCCTGGTCTTCTATGTGCCCCTGACTGAACTGCCCAAGCTGCACAGGTTTGGGAAGGGCCTGGCTCCACTGGTCCATATCACCATGGGGAACATCTACATGCTGGTGCCTGCTGTGCTCAACCCCATCATCTACGAGGTGAGGACCAAGCAGACACAGAGGATCCTGATTTCAATTAAAATTTCCGATGACAGAACTGCCCATTGAACTGCACCCAGCTCTTACTTTTTTTGACTTAGCTTTGGAATGTGGTCCTCTTCTTTGACTACGCAGCACGCTGCCTTAGCCCTTGGCAGGCCCTCAGTCACTATCACAACACAAATAGCAATAATTTATGACGGCAACTGTAGAACAAACATACTTTGTGCAGCAAGCACTAGTACTGTAGTAGAAGACTACACAAGCTTGACAGGTTGATGGCTTTATGGATGCAGTCAGAGCCCTTCAGGAGTTAACGTTGAGATGGGACTTGTTCCTTTCCTTGCAGTACATCCCAGTGCGCCCCAGAAAGGCACTGCAACAGACAGACAGTATAAAACACTTTCATCTAATATTAACTTTTTCTCTGTGTCTTCTTTTTCTTGCATTTATTCAATGCCTATAATTTAGAAAATTATTTTTTGGAAGGAACAGCTAAATACCACTTTGTGGAAGCAGAAATTTCTAGCACAAATCTGATTAAGGGCTTCATTTCCTGAATTAGGAACAAATTAACTCATTATCCACACAGCACAAAGCAAAACAATATTTGCAAATAGCAGCTCAAGATATTTGTGGGGAGCTGTACTGGGTGTAGGTGGTAAGGTCTGGGTAGTGGAGGGGGCTGCAGGAGTGGCCAGGAGGGAGGTCCAGGGCTGCCATGTGCCGGTGGTGCCTCTGTGAAAACATATTTAAGAAAGGGCAGAAAATGTCAGACTGAGAGAGGAGGAGTGAACAAAAAGAGTGAGAAACAGCAAGAGGAACACCAAGGTCAGAGCAGTAGGAGGTGCTCCATGGTGGTAGAAGCACTCTCACCGAAGGAACTGTGGGCTGTAGAGGACCCACACCAGAGCAGGTACACCGCCAAAGGGACTACAGCCCATGAATAAGCCCATGCCAGAGCAGCTAGACCCCAAAGGGACTGCAGCCCATGAATAAGCCCATGCCAGAGCAGCTAGACCCCAAAGGGACTGCAGCCCATGAATAAGCCCATGCCAGAGCAGCTAGACCCCAAAGGGACTGCAGCCCATGAAGGACCCACACTGGAGCAGGTACGCCCCCAATGGGAATGCAGTCTGTGGATCAGCCCATGCTGGAGCATTGGAAATGAGTGAGAAGGAAGGAGTGGCAGAGAGAAACCTCTGTGTACTGACCCTGACCTGCGCCAATCATCGCCTTGCTGAGGCGACTGAGTGAAACCTGTGGTGATAATAAGGAGAGGAGAGGAGTCTGGAGTGACGTGACTGGGTACCACTAATGTTTTCAAGGAGTCATCAGTCATAACTCCAAGATGTCTATTTCTAAGCGGGGACGGACAGCTCAAAGCACAACATTGTCTATGCAAAAATAGGGCTGTGTTTTGCCAGAGCGCCTCAGTTTTAATGAATCTATATTGACTTTTACTGTCCAGTTTATCACTTCATCATTCAGCTTTGCAAAGTTCTCCCATAATCCCTCATCTCTACTACTTTGGGTATAGTGACTTCATAAAAAGCTTCATAACATCCCAATTCACATCCTTCCCTAGATCTCTGACCAGTGGAAGAAGAACTGCTGAGGACATCCTGGGGGAAGCGAACAGAGACCCCACAAGACCCTGTGACCCTCATGGTAGTGTGGGTGATGAGCCACCACATACAACATGAGCTTGCTGGATGTGGGGATTTCTTACCTGCTGGGCTGCAATTGCAAAAGCTGGGTCAGGGATGCAACAGCTACAGATATACTAGCAAAACAGGCCAGTCTTTGTTCTTGTGCCACATAAATTCGACACTGTGGACAGGAATCTCCTTTTGTAATAGTCCAGATTTATAAATATGCCAGCTATACAGCAAAACACATCCCTTATTCTAAGACTTGGAGAAAATAAAGAAAGTAGATCCATTAATTCTGTTGAAATATTATGGATTTCTTCCTTTTTTTGTGTGCTGTATTTGCAGCGCTGATCTATGAATCAGATCTACAGCAGCCTAACACATCAATAAATAACTCAGGCAACAGAAATCACATCTAAGTCATATAAGGACAATCACAACTGAAAAGAAGGCTAAAAAAACCCAGTGCTCACAGGCATTTGTGCTCTTCCCATGACCCTGGGAGCTGGTCCCCCGTGCCCCCCAGTGCATACAGGGGTGGAGGAAGGGGACAGAGCTCTGCCTTTGCTATTGAGGGGGGATAAGGTGCATGCAGCAGGTTTAACCTTACCCTTACTGAGACTGTCCTCAGAGCTCACGCTGGAAAATGTGAGCAACCCTCCTCCAGGCAGTTGCGTCATCATCCATTGCATGTCTAGCGAAGAGGCTGGGAGCAGGCGTGGGGCTCCGGGTTGGTTTGTGCCTGTGCCAGTGCCGTGTGCTCAAGCAGTGGGCATCACCCACCCCCTCTCCTGGAGCGAGGGTCAGCACCTCAAACCTCACTCCTCTCCCAGCTTCCTGCCAACACAAGATGGTTTGGCCCCTCTTTCCCCCACCCACTTTAGTTAAATGGTCCAGCAGCATCAATAGCTCTTTGGAGAGGACCTGCAGGCCATCAGCTCATTTCCTTAGCACACAAAAAGAGAAGAAATGCAGCCTGTGGAGCTCAAACAAGAATGTTATTTACCTCCAGCTCACTATCAGCACAGTGACGTCAAAGCTGAATACTCTGAAAATTTTCCAGTTCTACATAGGCTTACCTCTGGATTTAGCACCTTCCTCAGTCTGTCAAGGAGGCTTTGCTGCTTGCTGCAGGCAGTGATGAGCTGAAATGCTACCAGTTTCAGCACATATGTACAATCCTCTCACAATTCTCAAGTCTTAAACTTGGAAAGATTCAGGAGAAGAGATGGGAGTTGTTTAAAGCGGATCATGCACTTGCTGCAGAGTTATGTATCCAGGGTTAATTTCTGTGGCCCATCATGAGCTGCAATTTGCATGTGCAGTTGTTTGGATATCCGTACATGCTCCTGTGGATGGGATGTGTGAGAATTTAGATTCTCTTGAGAAAAATGCAATGAGCACCTGGTCATGGATATGCTTGGTTTTGACACCATACACCATGGGGGGGAATGGGAGGTAGAAATTAGCCACCAAGATGTGCATGTGAGAGGCAATATGGCAACCAAACCTGTGGATTACTAATGAGAGAACCACAGGGGTGTAGAAGACCAGGATGACGAAGATGTGGGAGAGGCAGGTCCCAAATACCTTCAGTCTGTCCTCCTTCAATGCCAGGCTCAACATGGTCCTCAAGATCCTGAGGTAGGAATGCCCAATGAACAACAGATCCAACCCCATGATGAAGAGAACCACGATGATGTTACTGAACCTGGTGTTGGCACAGGACAGCTCCACCGCTGCCATGTGTTTGCAGTAGCAGTGGGAGATGATGTGGGAGCAGCAGTACAGCAGGCAATGGAGGAGAAAGGCAGAGGCAACATGAGCCCGGCTGCCCTGGCTAGAGCCAGCAGCCCATTCTTGACTACCAGGGAGATGGTCAGGATGGAGCTTGTAGCTCAGGGGGTTGCAGATGGCAGCATACATGTGGAAAGCCACGGCCAGCAGCTCCACCAACTCCATGACTGAGAAAGTGTGAAGAAAAAACATCTGCACAAGGCAGAAATTGAAGGTGATCTCCTGGGCATTGAACCAGAAGATGATCAGCATTTTGGGCATGGTGGTCAGGGACAGCACCAAGTCAATGACAGCCAGCATGGAGCGGAAATAAAACATGGGCTTGTGGAGAGATGGCTCTGTCTTCATCACGTACAAGAGGGTGCTGTTCCCAAGGAGGGCTACGCTGAACACTCTGCTGAATGGGATGGAAGTCCAGGGGTGCATATCTTCCAGCCCAGGGATGTCAGTCAAGAAAAACATGAATGAGGTAGTGCTGTTGGAAGCAGAGAGTTTGCATTGAGAGGCATCCTTTGCAAACCTAAAAGTCTTTTTTTTCAATAAAACATAATAGAAAGAATCATTAAACTTTGCAAAACATACCCAGATTGTGCCACTTTCACTTCAACTCCCTTATAACGTGTGAAGTTGATTTGTTATTCTGCTTGTTACTAAATCATGGCAAGGTCAGTCTGTGGAGTTTATCAAAAAGAGTGTGAAGTGATATCAAGTAAAAAGCATGATCACCATTGTTCAGATATGAAATTCTTCAGTGCTTATTTGGATTCAAGACATCTCTCCTTCCCTGGAGCAGGTGGAGGAGGCAGCAGGTGGGCCCCCAGCACCATGAGGCTGGCACAGTCCTGACGGCCTCCTCCCAGGATACCTCTGATTCTCCAGGACTCCCTGAGCGCCCCTGGGGGGGCTCTGCCAGGTGTGCACAGAGGCACAGCCACAGCTGGAGAGCAGATCCCAGGTGAGGAAGACTTCTGGTTTGACCCAGCACAGGTGCTCTTATGAGTTACTAGATTAAACTAAGAAAAAATCATGCATGCTCAGAATTCAAGCTGGGTTTCCATCCCACGACAGATTGGGACCTACATCAGGGCTTGGTTCAGGCCGTCTCTTTCCTCCCCCCTTGCACAACTCGTGCACCAGACTCCCTGGGATGACTCACCAGATTTCTGACCAAGCTGTGAGTAAGAAACAGCTCCTCTTCTCCAAGGACCTCTGGCTCTCCAGCCTGCTGAGCAGACTTCAGAAGCTGCCCTGCAGCTGGGGAGTTTATAGCCAAGCTGTCTCCTGGGAAGTTTCACAAAACAGCGGGCAATCTCATGTCATCCTCCCTCTCTCATCTTCAGCTCCAGAAGACCAGGATTAACTCTTGCCTCTCACAGTTGGAGGAAACCTCTGCTGCAGAAGAAGGGAGGCAGGGCAGTGATTTACCTTCTCCCTGAGCTGTTTCTCTGGCCAGAGTCCCAGCAGAGTTTCCCTGTCTCTTTTTAAAAAAACCCAATAAATTAATTACTGCCACCATCTCTGGAAGGCCCATCCAACCACCCCAAGTGCCCAGCATTCCCCAAGATTTCTTCTCTAGCTCTACCAGAGGTCTCATCCTGTCTGGCTGGGCTTCCCCCA